CAGAAAAACAGCTTCTCAGTGAAAAGTACCTGTGTTTTTCTCTTCTGCAAAATAGCTTCTTCCAAGCTCCTATCTAGTGCTGATTCATTGTGATGTAAAAAAAAAAGAGGCTTGTCTGAAGTAGGATGCCACGATGATTTTTAGACTGCTTAGGGTTTTTTCTTTTGTAAGGGGGTTCTTTTTGAGTCATAATTAACAATTAGAAAACTTCTGCTGATTGGCTACTAGTCTTTCTGCTGCAGTTGAAAACATTTTTCATGCTTTGAACATGAGTATTGAGTCCCTTCTTGTCAGTAGAAGAAATTCCTGTATATCTTTCAGTCAGTACACTTGGGCTGCATGTGTGGTTTAACAGCTTCAGCAAGCAGTGTTATGTGAGGTTACTTTCCCTTGCTTTTCTAGTACTTTTGGTTTGTGGAACTGATTACCACACTGGGATTAAACATGTATTTGTAGTTGCATCTTACTTAGTTTGAAGACACTTGAGTGTCATCAGAGTTGTTAAAGTGGCAAGATACACATAATAGATGTACTTGGTTTTCCTTGGTTTTTAGTTACTGGGTTAATTCAGTATTAGTGAAAAAAGTTGGGTTTGTGGTTAAAGCATAGGTTTGGGATTCTGAACATTTGGTTTCCTTTTTAATCCCTGCCACATATTTCCCCATGAGATTTTAGTCATGTCACTTAATTTTTCCCTTAGAGTTTTTTGTATCACCTCTCCCTGCCATCAAAGATGATGCATTGGTGGTCTCAGACATGCTATACAGAAATATAAAGAAGGAGCAGACTGTTCATCTCTTGATTAGCAGCAGTGATGAACAGCCCTTTTCTCTGATATAAGCGTGACATGAAAATAATAATACAACATTTCAACACAATGCAATTCCTGCTTGCTTGTTTATTTTTAATAGAAAATATTCATTATGTTTCCTCTTTAGTGGATATTGCATGAAAAGTAAATTAGACTTGCAACTACTATTTTCAGAAAAAAAGAATACAGTTACATTGCCTACTAAGAGATGTTTCTTGATTCTTTAAAGAAGTGTGGAGAAAGATAAAAAGCATCTTGCCTTCAGTGTTTAAAACACTTGTGAACTATTAGTGATTAGCATGAGACCTAATGGGAGTCACATCCTTCCAAGGCATCTGGTCCTGAGCACTGCTGAAGTGCTAGCGAGTAAAGTAACAGGCTAGATGGACCCAAACTGTGATCCCAATTTGCCATTTCATGTTTCATGGGTTTGACAATGCTCGTACTCTTAGAGACTGTTTTTTTAAAGAAAAACACACAAACCAAACCAACCTCCAAAAAACAACCTACCAGCTGTTACATCTCTCTGTTCTCAGTGTAGGCAGTTGAGCACTGTTAAAGGATGATCCTTAAAAAGTAAGGCCAGTTTGTGCACCTGATGGTCTGAAAACCTCCCCTGGTCACCTGGATTTACAGAAGTGCTGAGCATTTAAGTTGTTTCTAATTTCTGCAGCCTTTCTGTATTCCCCATTACAAGTCCAACATTCCCAGTAAAGCTAAGTGGCAGCCCTTTGCCCAATTTTCTTCCAGGCCCATTTTTTTTGAAGGATGCTCTTTTATTCACCTATTAAGCAAGTTTCATGAAATCTTTTTGCCAAAGCAATTTGGGCTATAAGGTGGGTGGTTATGACGAAGAAATTATTTTTAGGCTTTTCTTACTAGTAAACTTCAAAGTATCAGCCTAACAGTATTGAATGCTATTTTCCTTCATCAGTAATGGACATCCACGCCACCCTGTTTCCCAGTGCTGGGTAGCCTCAGCAGTACGTCCAGGTTATCTAAGCAGTAGTTCTAAGCACAAATTTGAGGGAGTTGTTAGGGTTAATGTTTCTTCAGGTTTGCTGAGCAGATGCAAGTTCTGCATTACAGATTGTGTTGTCCTAAAGCTTGACCATTTGTGAGTGCCGTTTCCAATTGCCTTTTGGTTAATTTCTTTGGTTAGCAAACATATTAATCAAACACGTGATATTCCTACCTGGCTCTGTGGTATACACTGCAGTACATTGGGAATGTTTCTTTATAACATTGATCAGATAAAAGGTCTTTCAATCAAAATGTAATGAATACCTAGTCTCAGTTTCCAACTGAGAGTAAAATCTGCCTATATAGCACACTGCTCGTATGCTGATGTTATATCATTGGATATAAGGCAGCACTGATTTTTGAGGGAAAAATGATGGATATCTATCTGCAAGTGACAATGGAACATATGAATTAATCATCTGTTTAACTTTTGCCCTTGGCTGCTGGATTGCAGCCTTTAGCATTACTTTCTTTGCTATTTTACGTGTGCTGCACTGTGGGTCACCAGCTTTCTCATCCTGTCTGGAAAGCACTTAGATTGACACATGTAGTCACTGTGACATATCCTGTTGCTATCTATAAGTGCTAAGGATTCCAAGATAAATTTGGGTTATACATGTCAATACAGTAGGTCATTGCCACCCAGCTGTTTCCTCTATAGCCTTCAGTCTCACCACACCTGATTGTTCGAGACTTTAGACACTTGTGTTGGCTTTCTCCCACAACTGCCTTGCCAAAGCTGGTTAGGAATACAGCTGCAAACATAGTTCTCTTTTCCCTAGGCGTCTCTCCTATCTCACATGATTTTGCAGCACTCACACATATAGTCTTGGTTATTTTCTTTTTTGTGGACATGATGCAGTTTGAAGTTCAATAAAAGTTATATTATTATTTTCATAATATTATTTTCATAAAAACTGGTAGAAAAAGCTTGAGGTGATTACGTTCAACTTTTTTCTTAATTGGCTAGAACATAGGTAAGCCTAGGAAAGCAAATAATAAGTTGCTAATGATTTAAATTATTCTGTGTGTAGTTTATTCAACTACACTTTTGTTCAAAATTTTCATAATTTGTGCTTTGGTACCTAAGTCACATACAGGTCCATCTGAGTTCTTGCTAAACCCACGAATGTTTAAACTGACTGCATGAACACTTATGATGTGAATAATCATGCAAAATATTTGAACGCAAGCATTCAGAGCACATTCTTTTTCCCTGAGTATCATATAGACAAAAGTTTATTCCTATATATGTACACAGGAAAGGAATCCAACTGCTGGATTCATGAGGTGAAATGCTGGCTTTCTTTGAAGCAGATGGAGTTTCACTGTTCAGTTGGACCGTAGAGTGTTTTAATGCAAACCCATGTCTGAAAACACCAGTATCTTTTGTAATATTTTTCTAAGTGTGGGTACAGTATTATTTGTATTTCTGTGCTACCGCTTTTATACTGGTTGCTAAATTAATGAGACTAAAATTATCAGATCACGCTACGCTGCCTTGTGATATTGTTCTAGTTGTAGAATGGGCTATTAAAGAGTAACAAAATGAAAAAATATCAAGTGGTGTTGTAGGTGTAAAGGAAGCAATGGCTTAAAACTAAAGGAACAAAGAGTTTCTTTGCAAAACCAACTTATTTTGGTCACAAAATGATAACTTGGCACTATATTGACCTGTGGCAAAATGCCAGTGCCAGTAACATTTACTCCAGGTGACCACGACTGATTTCAGCTGCTCTCACACATTTGAGGGTGCAGTCGCACGGACACTGCCCCGAATCTTCTCTGGCACAAAGCTGAGCAGCTGCTGGGAGCCAGCAGCCCTGCTAGGCAAGTCGGTCTTCTGGCCTGGCTTTCTGGGGCTGCTCCTTGCAGTGATCTGCTTTATGCTCCTACGGTTTTCCTCTCATTATCAAACTTTCCTCTTTCAAGAGCACTTCACCATCATTTTTGCTTGCAAACTGAATTTTCTCTGAGCTGATTCTGATATATTAATTGTAGTGCTTTGGTTATATGACTTGCATTATAAGATTTTAGCCTTCTTCCCTAGAGTTAATTCATTCCTTTACTGTCATATTATCTTATTTCTTTTTCTTTTTTCTTCTCGTTTTCAGTTTCTCTTAGTCCATGCTATCTGCTGTTGCTGTCTGCTTTATCTGCTTCTTCCTTCCTGTTGGCAGACATCTTTACAGGCTTCTGCATATGACTTATTTTTCTCTGTATCCACTAATCAAGTGTTCTGTCATGACTGCAACATTTTTCATATCACTGTTCATTATTGGAAAGTGCTAGTCAGGCTCTACAACTGATCCAGTAGACATATGTAAACCTACAACTTTTCTAGAAAGTTCAGCTTTGGGGGTTTAGATTAAGATTCTTGTAGTATGGAGATACTGGTATCCAGAGGATGCATGGACAGTAATTTGTGATCTCTCTTAGAGGGGTCCAGCCCCACTAAGTTCATCATTAAACAGTCTAACTTTAAGACAGGAAGATCTCAGGGGAACTCAGGAAACTGATCCACTGCAGGGCCTTTTGGAAGAAATACTAAAGAATATGATGTGTCCACCTGAGGAAAGAGACACGGCTGGCTGCTTCTGTAGAGCACAGAAGTCTGAGCAGTAAGGCGGAGGAAGCAGTCTGAAAATCAGCAGAA